GACCATCTTCATTTTGAAGCAGGTTATAGAGAGGTCTATCGAGAAAGGGAAATCGCTCTCCTTCTGTTTAGTGCATTTGCAAAAGAGTTTTTAAGGAATCTAAAAGAAAACGAGCTTTTTCTGAAAGACTAGTAGATATTAGCACAATCTAAAGTGTGAGGAACTAAGCAGAAAGAGGATATTTTTCTTTCTAGATGGACTTCTCTATAATCTGCCTTAAAGTGAAGATAGTCCCAATTTGCAACTTCTCTTCCAATGTGTAACTTGAGTCTCGTAACTATATCACTCTGGCAATCGACAGTATTTCTTATTCTAGCTTCTACGATTCTTGAGTAGAGTTTCTTTGATACACCGAACAGGAATGAATCTCGATGGGAATCACATGTCCTAGTATCTCCTTTCTTGTAAAGGTACAAAACTACAGTCCTTTCATAATTTTCTAATACATTTGTTGCCTATGTACGTGCAGCAGTTCGGTTTACTTTGTCCAGACCAGCTGACTTGCCAATTGCTTCGAACAAATCTTTCTTGCTGATAAAATGGTCTTCACCATAATAAACCTGCATCGTCCCCTTAAGATCATCCAAACTTCTCCAGCATTTGACTACCTTTTAGCAGCATCTTGAAATATTCTGTTCATCTGTCTACTATACATTCGTTTAGCCATATAATGGATACTGGTCCTTTTTTTCTTTTCCAGATTTGGCACTTCCTTTCTCGTTCGTTAATGTATTTTTCCAATTTTTGGTTCAATTTCGCGTTTTTCCTCATTTTGAGACCAAATCCAAACAATCAGTTCCGGTTACTAGAAGAACTTATAGTTTCCCCCTTTCAATCTTTATTTGTGCAGAGGAATAATGCATTCAATATTAAAATTTCCTATTTTTTTATGATATGGTTCCAACTTCCGAACAATTTATTCAATTTCATAACAATAAGTTTTACTAAACAACCGGCAACTATTCATTATATGTAGTTCAGATTAGGTATATATTATTTTAGTTTATAAAACAGGTATTGATATGACTCATTTCCTGGAAAGTATATACAATTTAAATTACCTCTAAGAATCAGTAAATATACAAAACAAAGTGTTAAATTGCAAACGTTAAATAAAAAATTCAAGATATTCAGCAAAGTATTTTTCAATTAAGTTTTATTATTATAATTATATCATTTTTACAATAGATGTCTACTTAAACGACCTCCGTATAGAATAAAGTAAGTTAAATAAAAAATAAAATAAAATAATAAATTAAAAAAAATTGTTTAATTTTTTTTGACAATTAAATGATTGCATTAATATTTGTTCGTTAATAAAACCAATATAATGTACAAAAACGTTATTATATCACTATAACTAAGCCATTTATGTGTACAGAATGGTGTGGTAGAGGCTTGTAGGCACCTACGCCGGCACCGCTTTTCTCCCGCATAAGTGCATTTTCTACGGAACTGCTTCAAATATTTTAAAAAGTAATCAGTGTTTTAGAAAGAAAAATATATTCTCCAGATGTTTTATTTCAGCACATTTTGCGTTATTGTTGGCCGTTTAATTACAAACGACGCTTTATTTTCAACTTGAAAATTTTTGACTTTACTGGTGTTTTTTTATTGCCTAAGCCAATTATTTTTTAATATTTGTTCATGTTTTATTATTCTCTGACTATTCAGCTTTAATAAAAGACCAACCATGAGGAAATTAAGCCAAGTGCTGATTCTCAGTGACCAAAAAACTAACTAAAGTCAAAGTCGTCAATCCGCCATCTTTGGACGCCATTTTGGGGCAGTGCGTTCACTTTTTTTTGTGGGAACATTGGCTTTTTTTTAATAAATAGTTACAAAGAACACAGCGATACGCAATTTATAGGAATGTGGGGGGGAGGGAGTGCACTATATGGTGGTCTGGCCCACCGTGTAAATTAGTGAAATGGAGAATCTAGACAGTAACGCAACAACAATTTGCGTGAACAGTATTTGGTTAATACAACCATGGTGATTACATTTCAGCGTACATAATGGGCATGTAAAATTGTTGGACTCAGTAACAAAAGAATAAAACGATTAATTCCTAAGAGATTAATATGGGCTATGCCGTTTGGTAAGCGTCCGAGAGGTAGACCAAGCAAAGGTTTGTGTTAAGGCTAAGCTGTGTTTAACAAAAAGATACATTGGGGTGATCTAAGTAAAGAAACTATCCAATTTACATAATAAAATAATATAATATGGAAAATAATACATCTTTAATAATAATTATTGATGATAATGTTATATAATATCAATTATCAATGAAATCCCATTTTAAATACTGTAAAAGATACTGACATTACTATGATCAGTTCAATTATTTGTATTTTTTTTTTTTAAAGCATCTTCACTATAAACTGAATTGCTGTCTTTTGACCATTAATTCAATTGACCACATTTGAATACATAAATTTATAAATACTGATTATTAAAACAAATAAATAGAATACAACTTTTTAATTTTAACAAAATATACTCTCAACTCTGCCAAAATTAGATTTTTTTTTTTATATAAGTAACAGAATGATTTGGTAACTTAACAATAAAACTGCATTCAATACTTCTCTATATTTTTAAAGAGCAGCATAAAATATAATTGCACAAATAATGTTAGCAAATTGATGATGAATCATCATTACATCATATATTTCAAACTAATAGACATAATAACTTCTATAAACTAAAAACTTTATAACATAAAATCGATCCCTTTATAAACTTATAACATTTGAGAATTAATAACAATTAAATACATTTTTCTATTTAAAAATTTGGTAGATTGCTAATGAAGTTCCACAAATTCAAAAGAAAAAGCATAACAAACATGCTACTACATAAAATACACAATTATAATTAATAAAAATTAACATAATAGTAACATGATATTTCATAGGTTATTAACAGGCATGGACATTATAGAAGATACTGTTTAAATTCACTTTTGGAGAATTAAAGTTATTAAGTATTAATAACTTTTTAAAATGAATAATAATGAATGAATGAATGAATAATTCCTTTAAGTAATTGAAATACTTAGTAAAGTTAAAACTAAATGGGTACACATTACCGTACATTTTAACTAACATTTTTTTTTTAGCCCATGCCTGGTTATTAGTGTTCTTAAACCAAATATAAAAGCTTATGAGCATCTGCTGAAAAACTTGCATTCAACACTATAAGTGAAATAATAACAAATCTAACCAAAAAGAAACTTAAAAAAATTTGTACTGAAATACATACGCCACGCCACTAGGCATAATTATTTTCATTATAAAAAGCTTACCTAAACTGTATCACCTAATGAAGACTAAGAACAAAATATATAAAATATTAATTGGAGTAAAACATAAAAGCAAAAACCTGCAGGCTATTCTCCCCCTACAGCTCACTACTCGGTGAGAAAATGATGGGAATAACAGTGAATAAGTAAAAACTTTTCATTGTTCATAAGTGTCATTAAAATTTGATTTGAGTCAATAAATGTACTGTTAAAATGGCATGTATCACAAAAAATAAAATCAAGTTATACTGAAAACAAGTAAAATTAAAGTCAATAATAAAATGATACGGAATAATGTATAACATAAAAATTAAAATAGTTAATTTGTGAGTAAATATTGCTATTATTAAGATTTTTAAACAGCAACTAAACTAGAATAATAATTTAGCAAATACATGCACTTGTCGCTAGTCGACAATATGATTAAATAAACTAATCATTATTATCATGTTAATGTTTCTTTATAACAGACTGTAGCATCTACAATCTTCATTTCTTGTTTTAGTTAATGTACTTACTGCCGAAGCAAGTATTATGTACTTGAGCTTCAACATATCGAAGCATTATATGCATCATATTCATTACATCATTAGAAATGATTTCATAGTGGCAAGAAAACAGTTAATGCTGCAATCAAATTACAGCCAAGTAAAGTCAAATCCATTAAATTGAACCATTATAAAACCAAACAAAGATTGACAGCTTAATCTGCTCATTCCACATTTCTTGCAAGCGTATGATTCCTAATATAACAAGCATATTCATTCTTAGAGAACTTTAGAATAATATCAATTTAAAATTCTAAATAATAATAATAACGATAAATTATGATTACTAATTAATTTGACATTTCTTACAATTTAAATTTAACATTTAATGTTACTAGAATAGTGCTATAATAATGAAAATAACTAAAAATAAGAGTATTACATGAGAAGTGTAACTAACTACAAAACTAATTTTATTGATATGTTAAATGTCTCCAAATTATTTTTTCCCCTTCATTATGAGTACAACAAGCATCACTATCATCATCATACAAACCATATTTGTTATTTAACTTATACAAAAAAAAAAAGAAAAAAAAAAAGGAAAATATAACCAAAGCACTAAAATAATAAGCTAATATTATCAAAACTTTTTAAAAAATCAATACTACGGGATCAAGCAACTTTTTAATGAATATAATGCACGATAGAATAGAAAATAATAAAATAGACATTATATAAATCCTATCAAAATTAACCCTTTCCATCCAATTACACGCAAAGTTTGCTCTGGACCTATATATTATAAAATCCAAGCAATTATATCTTGTATACAATTATCCAATCAATTACCATTCTAATTTAATATCATAGACCTAAGTGCTTAAAAAATACCCACTGAAAAATTAATAATTAACATTACAAAATATAAGAGTTAATAAATCAATAATTTTCAACACACTTCCTCAGCTTGAAATAACAGCATACAATATCACATAATCATTAAAATGCTATATAAAACACGATATTAATTAATAAATCACTTCCAGAATAGTCCATCCGACATGAAAAATATATTTTTTAATTAAAAAAAAAAAAAAAAAAACCAAATATTGTTTACTATTTCTATGAAGAGATGAAAACTGATTATTACAACCTTTATGAAAATTTTATAATTTCATATATAAATAAACAGAATTTTTTCCTCAGTTACTAATTGTATTAACTGTCTCAGACTGTTTCAGCAACACTTGATATTTCTCTTGTCCGTCTGAAACAAAAAAAAAAAAATATTTATATATATCACTTTTCTGTATTTTAAGTTCAAGGTAAAAATATTTTTCAAATATTAAAATTATTTAGGCTGAATTAAAAGTTTCACCATATAGTCTTTGTACATTACCAATTTCAATCCAATCATTCCGCCCAAATACACAACATAAACATCTTTTTAGATGTGCCTGAAAATAGTATAATGACCATAACATAGCAGAGGTAAAGGATACAATAAAGAATAAAATATATGGTGAAAACTTGACTCAACCTAAACAAACAATTTTAATATTTAAAAAATATAGCATTATCTAAAAACTTACATACAATGGAGTGGATACTTATCAACTTAGGGGAAAATAAAATTACTACTGTTCGACAGGTTACTGTTCCCACTTACAAGTTTGTCAGGTTAGAAAATCACAAATCATTAAAGGCAGAATCTCTATGGAACATACAAAAGATAAAAGAAGCCCGAAGGAATAAGGAAAATCAAACACTATATTATATTTTTGAATTCAAATGACCCCCTTTTAGTCTTTTGTCAATATACAATTCAAATAATATTTATTTTATTATAGATTTATTAACTCTTAACACTTTTTACAAAATGAGTTGTGTTTATCGAGGTAATCAGCTTGATCTTGCAAAAATATTCAAGTAACCAGAAAACAAAAATCAATGAAGATTTATTACATTAACAAAACCACAATTAATCCTCTGTAAGATTCCGGTTAATTTATCAGCCACATAGATGTATCTTTCCTCTTGGTTAGTACTAAGTCTTATAGGCCTATATGTCTCCTCCCTATAATGAGTAAATTGTTGGAGATCTTGCTGATGACAAGCCTACGGCCAGTCTTCTTAAGAGCTAGCCATCCACGGCAATATAGATGCACTAAAGACAAGAGAACCGCAGATGCTCTGCTGAGGGTGCACAGTGATGTTGAAGATAAGGCGGAAAAGTATAGAAACTAGAGATAGATAAGAACCCCATCAACTTTTTGTTGATATTAATAACAAAGAAAACTAAAACATCACAACAAAACAAAACATGTTTATTTTTAGTAAAGACATCACAAAGTTTCTTTCTATACTATCCAAAGGGTTTTTGTCCTTTGTAAACCTTTCTACTAATGTTTGTGTTTGTCTTTACATATTTACATATACATAAATTATATATATGATTTTCTTAGAATAGTAAATACACATAAAAAAAAAAAAAAAATTAAAAAGAACTTTTGAGAATCCAGCCCTGTAAAGGACTAAGGCCGTGTCACCTATTTTTTCTAATTATGATCCTAGCAGAAATCAATTCTTTTAATTATAATTTTCAAAATATTTGTTTAGTAATTTTAACAAAAAAAAATCTTAAATTTAAAATATCCTTTCTACAATATTGGTCAGCTAAGGAATAGTGATAAAAATAATATAAAATGATAGTCTTATTTTAAATAAAATCTCCTATCTTTCAATAATAAATTTCTTACCTGATATCAAGGTGACGCTGTATGCAGTATTGTCAGGAAGGTGAGAAACCAGTTCTTCAGTAGGCAAAATCTTGATATCTCCTGGACCTAGGAGATATATCTGAGTGACTTGGCTAACAGGAAGACCAACGGCATAGCAAACTTTCCTTAAAAGTTCCCCAGTTTTTAATGAGGACAAGTACACCACATTATAAACTCGATCACGAGGGTCCACACAGATGTATATAGTCAATTTGGGAGCAACAGCTCTGAAAAATAAATATATTATTATGGTATTATATCAATTTAACTTAAAATATACAATAGACATATTAATCACTAATTTAAATACACTTAGTAAGTCATTCCAAGGTTTAATAGAATGTTAATACTTCAAGCTACATACATAAACCACCCATCTTAACCTCCTAGCTTTGAAATTATGAGATGTAGACCAGAGATAGGCATATTTATATTCAAAAGTATAAATACGAATGCCATTTATATTTATAGCACTTTTTAATATAAATATGAATATATTTATATTCATAAGAAGAAATATGAATACAGATGATACGTATTCTCAGCTGTAAATATAAATACACTCGTATTCACCACTTTAAAAGTGAATAAGGCTGTATTCACATTTATTAAAATGAATACGCTTACTTATGAATACGTTTTTGACTGAGCACCACTATTCTTCTCTTCATTATCCACGACAGTCAACCAATTACCAATTATGAATACGCTTAAATTTACATAAGTGAATGGAAATATTTTCACAATCTTATGAATGAATACTCTTATTTATTAAATAAATGTTAATTTATTTCTTACTTTAGGTATTTTCCAAAATAAAACAAAAAAGGTATGTTAAAATTAAGTTCTGGACAGCAAGGTTTTATATTAAATAAATCGCTTAAAAAATGTTGGAATAATGTTAAAAATATGGTATTTGCTAACTCGAAATGATGTATACATAAAAGTGTAATTTTATTAAACATAATATTAAAATTATGAATATGTTAAGATCTTAGGAGGGTGCTAATTATGTAAACTAGAGTCAATTACGAAAATTGGAAAAGTCGATTAGATAACTAAGCTAATACCTAGAAGTACATACATAAGTATTTTACCACGTCCTATGTTACAATTATTAAAATTTTAGTTTATATTCAAAGATAATTATATGTAGCAACATATCCTAGGATTTTCTAATAAAATCATGAACACTCTTTACTTTTTACGTGTAGATTTTAATACATTTCCGGTAGCAAATATGAAGGGATGAGTTCATCGGACTGACTACATATTCAGTTGGTTTGTTAACATATTTTCAAATGGAACCATACACACACACAAAAAAAAAAGATATTTACAATATATATCATATTATTTTCATATATAGTATTACATTATTCGTTTTACTATATGTTATTTTAATTATGTCACAACGTATTTTGTTATGTTAATTATCATTCGTAATTTTTGTGGTTATATAAATTCCCGAAACCTTATTTTTTTGGTGTATCCATCGCTCATCCATCCCCCCTACCAGAATGGAAATTTGTGTCTATGGTCCTTTCAGTGCAGTGTTTACTTAAGGGTTCCTGATAAAGATAAGTTTAATGAAAAGTCACGGTAAATACAAAAAGTCAAAAGTCGAAACGATACCCTGGAAATTCCTGGGTGGAATATGGGCAAGCTGGAAGCTAGGGAAGAGACAAGTGCAGTCAAATTTAAATAGTGACCTTTTCGGACCTGCCGTCCAGTAAAGTAATAAAGTAAAAATGAATAATAAAAGTGTGACTATATGTGTTATGTGCATAATAATAATAATACTTTATTTATTCTGGGACGAGTCCCTTTACAATAATACTGTAATGTGTTAAAAATTGTAGGAAGTGATTAAAAAACAATAAAAGACACTTTATGTTACTTTAATTTGTTTGTAAAATACTCATTAGCATATTATTTCATTTTTTTTATTATTATTTTGTTTAACATTTGCGAATGTGTTTATATGGTTATATATATTCAAATCTGTTCCGATTAGATCAATTCAAATAATCTTAACATATTCATAATTACAATTTTATGTTTAATAAAATTAAACGTTTATATATACATAATTTTGAGTAAGCAAGTACCAACTTTTAACATTATTCCAACATTTTAAGAGATTTATTTAATAAACTCCTTACTGTCCAAAACTTTATTTTAATTTTTGCATACTTTTTATGTTTTATTTTGGAAAATCCTATTGTAACAAATAAATTAACATTTATTTAATAAATAAGACTATTCATTCATAAGGTTATGTGAAAATATTATCATTTATTTATGTAAATTTAAGCGTATTCATTTTAATAAACGTGAATACAGCCTTATTATTCACTTTTAAAGTGGTGAAATACTGGTGTATTTATATTTACAGCTGAGAATATGTATCATCTGTATTCATATTTCTTTTTATGAATATAAATACATTAATATTTATATTCGTAAGTGCAATAAATATAAATGGTAATAATATTAATATTTTTGAATATAAATATACCCATCTCTGGTTACCCTAGATACCTACACTTTTTTACATGTTCAAACAAATTCTGTTCTATATCGAAACACTAAAATTGTCACCATTCTTGTAGCTAACCAACCATCTATTTTTTCTTTTCTGAATATACAGATATAAAAGTATAGATTAAGTTTTATTTTTATAACTGTATTATTTAAAAAAAATTTTTTTGGGACAATTAAATTATTTGACTGATGTATGTAAAACAGTCAAAATAATATACCAAAAACAGTAGTAAAGCACTATAAAAATTTAATTTATGATAACTGAATAATGTAGTAGATGAATGTAGGCTTTGACACCGGTACCACATTTCAGGCAATAAAATGTGTTTACCAAGGAACAGTTTCAAATTTTTCAAAAATAATGAGTGATTTAGAAAGATGAATGTTTTCTCCATTTGTTTTATTTCAGGAATTTTTTCGTTATTTCGTTATATACTAAAAATGACGGTTGTTTAATTTAATTCTTCCTTTAGAGACTTCAAAAAATTGACTATGCTGATGTTTTTTTATTGCCTAAGCTAATTATTTTTATATATTTTTCATATTTTATAAGTTTCTGAGTATCTATAAAAGGTCAATTATGAGGAAATTAAGCCAAATGCTGAAACTCAGGGATCAAAAAACTAACTTAAATCAAATTTGTTAGTCTACCATGTTTAGATGTTATTTTGAGACAGTGCAGCCATTTTAGTTTATGGAACATTGGCTTTTTTTAAAATTAATAGTTGCAAAGGACACGATATGCAATTTATAGGAATGTGGTTGGGAGAGGAAAGAGAGTACATGGTAGTGAGGTCTGGCCCACAGAGTAAATATATTAACAGTTGTGACAGGAAAATATTTACCTGACATGAAGTGCATTAAATAGACGAATTCCATCAGAAAGACCACACAATTGAATCAGATCTTCTCGAGAAAGGCGAAGCAGATCAGCACCAGAATAAGAAGCTAAACTATTATGATGACCAGTATATCTATTTGCCTGGAGCCAAAGGGATGTTTCAGCTGGGCCCCAATCAGCACGAGGGCTACAATTTGTTTCAGCCTAGGAAAAAAATTCATGCTAATCTCAGTTAAAATAACATGATAAATTTTAACTAATCCCAACTTATGATAAAATAAAAAATATATAAATCTTACCATACATAGATATGATTCAGTTTTTAACTACACTTTAACATACTTTAAACTCTACACCATGACCTTAACATCCCAGTCCAAGACCATATCCCAGAAAAATTCTACAAATTTCACTGAAACCTTATTTATCATCCAAATCCCCTTGCACAATCCCTATCTAGCATCACCCATTCCTGTAATCCGCCCAAAAGGTTAAAATGGTAGTGGAACCTTATCTTTTATTATTCGATCCTCAACCCTATGGAACTCCATCCCTCCCCACATCCGTCAATCCAAAAATTATCATTTCTTATCCATCCAGTCCCCATAAAATTGTAAATAGTTACAACTGTAAATAAGCATATAAATTATTAGATCGTTATTCATTATTTTTATTTCATGTTTATTTTCAATTTTTTATTTTTGCGGCAGAGAGTCTGAAACACCAGCACATGTGCTGGGAAAATGCCCCAACAACTCCCTCCTCATAACACGTCGTCACCACCGGGTCAAGTTCGAGTTGATGAGGCTCCTTAGGGAAAAAAAATTCACCTGCTTTGACGAGGTATATTGCATCGATAGTGAAGGCTCTACGAGATACGCTGATATCGTCGCATTTCCCAAGACAGAAAGGACAGCGCTGATCTTGGATCCAACTGTCCGCTTTGAGAGCAATGACTTCGATCAGGCGGGCGAAGTGGAAAGGGAAAAGAAGAACATGTATGATAAATGTATCCCTTTCCTAAAAGAGAAATTCTGTGAGACCTTCGGAGAGATAGAGTTCACCGTGAGAGGCCTCTGGTTTGGGTCTCGCGGAACTATCCCAAAAAGAACAAGGAGCTTCCTCGAGGAACTAGGTGTCGACATTAAGGACGTAGCAAGGTTGGCTGAAAATATAGTCCTCGACTCCCTGGGAATCATTCACCACCACGTGCATGGCTAGCCCGAGAGTTTTAATTTATGTATTTGTTTATTTATTTATTTAGTGAATAATTGAAAACAATAGCGATAAAGAGAGAGAAGTGAGAGAAAGGGAAACTTAATGTTAAATAAAAAAAAAAAAAAAAAAGCATGAACAATGAGAAGAAGGAAAAAGGAAAAAAAAGAAAAAAAAAAAAAAAAAATTATAAAAATAAATAAAATAATAAAAATGTATATATATATATTTCTATTTTACTAATATTACCTAATACTTCTGTATATTTATATATAAGTTCATATATTGTCTTAAGGATAGAAGAGTATGCTGTGTATATAGCAACCCAATATAATTGGGCAGCAATCCTTTATATTTTATATTTTATGAAAATAAAGTGTTTCTCTCTAACTGATCTAAATTAGTAAGTAACTTATAATTTTTCCTATTATTTTCTTTAATTTTGACTATTTAATTACTCTATATTTTTGTTTATGTATCTCTAAGGTTCCTTAGCCCACATTATTGTCTTTCTATATTATTCTAAAGGGACTCGTCCAAGAATAAATAAAGGATTATTATTATAATTATATATATATATATATATATATATATATATATATATATATATATATATATATATATATTAATAAAATAGATTTATTTTCACTTTTTGAAAACTTTCATTAATAATATTATTCATTATTATTCCTAGTTAAATTTACTGAAATATTTTATTCCATTTTTAATACATCAATTAACTAATGGTATCATATTTTTTTTATTTAAAGAAACTGCTGTTTATACCTAACTTTATAAACTGGTATCTTTAATTTAATGCAAATTAATTTATCAATCAGTAAAAAATAAATTTACCTCTAAAAAACTTAATCCCATAAGTTATTTAAAATTGTCTTAGTTTTAAAGCATATTTTTAGTACCATATTTGGTAGCGAGAGATTGGAGTATTCCGATAATATTTTTGTTGGACTCTTAACCTTTTACATACCGCCCCATAATTCCAGTAGAATTTTTTTTCTTTTTTCCTGTAATATTGGTCTCAATATGCTTCAGTTTAGATAGTTTCTAAAAAAAAAAATCTAAATAAAAAAATTCCTTTGCACTTTTCCGACATAGTTTGTTCCTTAATTTGTTGTTTGTTACAAAAGTAGAACAATAGCAGATTCATGTTATACAAAGAACTGTTTTCTTACTAGCTTTATTAGAATATTCAATACAAGAATAGTGTTGTTTTTAATTCCATTGATGAAAAATTATAGTTATATTTAAGTAAAACATTCTAATTGTTTGTAAAATAATAGAAAATGCGTATGTAGGAATATGGAATAATAGAAAAAAAAGTACTATGCTAATATGCGATTTACAATCCGTGATATTGGGGAAAACAATCAATATGAATGTGTTTACGGCATTCTACGTATTGATATTTTGTATTGGTGCCACAATGAAGACACCTTCCTTGGAAAGCCGAAATGATATAATGTCCACCTGCCTTACCCCTGCGAGGAGGGATGGAAGTCTTCGGCCTTGTATGCGAACCATCTTTCCGGGGTAAAGCCTACATTAACTAATTATGATAAAATGAGAGTAAGAAACGAGACACAGTCATGACAAGAACACAGTAATGACTGAGCAAACTAACACCAAAGAATGTTTGCGGTAGGATTTCTAATAATATGTTCTAAGAAAAAAAAAAAAATGCAGTTTTTCTCTATGGTAAGGAATTATACAAAAAAATTGAAAATCTTAGAATAGCAATTAGTAGGTCTATGAATTCTCAGGTTCAATTTTGTACTAAGAAAACAAGGTAGGAAACAACGAATAGAATAAACATTGAACATTTCTATAGCGTGAACCTACCATTATTCCATATGTGGAATATTAAAATTAAAATTAGTAAAACTGATTCTTAGAATTTTTGAATTTAAATTTTCTATAATGCACTATTTTCAGTAATCTATCACAATCAATTAAATCAATATTCAAATTAAATTTCATTGCTTTAGTACTGTCACAAACAAAAATAATCAATACACCTCTCGAAACTAAAACATCAGAAACTTTAACTTTTTATTTAGCGAATTAAAAGTGATAAATCTTTATTGGAAAAATTAAAAAAATTATTTCAACTTTTTTTTTTGGTGGGAAAAAATTGTTTTTAGCAAAAAAATAATGATTAAGTTGGCCAAAAAAAATGTTTACTATATGTTCGTTCCACTTCTGGCACAATGACATGTAGATAGTTAATGTTATTTATGACTGTTCTCAAATGTTGATTAATTTTATGTAACTCAACTAGTGCATGTATTCTTGGTATTCTCATGTCCATAAGGTAGATAATTTTTTAAAAATTATATTACTTAAATAACCTTTCTTGAATATTTTTACAACATACAAATTTACTTTATTTATTTATTTGAAACCATTCAATAATGCTTCCATTGGTTTGTAATATTATGTTTATAAATTATAACTTTATTTTTTGTTTGGTCGGATTTAATTTATATTATGCCTTTATTACTATCCATGAATTCTTCAGGTTATTTATTAATTTGTATGTTTACATTAGCATATTTTCCTTTATAAATGATTTGGAAAAACAGAAAAATTTATATAAAATTAATAATAGAAGATAAAACTAATATAAATACATCTAATTATAAAAAAAATATTAAAATAATTTCAGACATAATGATAGTATTGGATAACAAAGAATCTTTGAATAATTATATCAATGCTACCAGAAACAATATCTGTAGTATTATTACTAATTATTAATCATTTTGAAGATATTCTTCTCCCTCACATGCGAAAAATAGTCCTATCCCCCGAAATTTCTGGGAAAAGTTATGCAAAAAAAGAATCTTTATTTGCAAATAGCTCAAAAAGTATGCATTTTTTTCTTGATCGTACCCAGGATAATTTGAAAAATTACTAAATTATCTACAAAACAAAAAGTAAATCGTAAAAATCGATACAAGTATGTATAATTCAAATAATTAGTATTGACGGAAGGAGTAAAGTGTGTTAAAATATTTTTTTAAGGAGAAACACAGTTGAGATTTGTATTTCACAGCTCGAAAGACCCTCGAATACAAATTTTCATTGCGATCGAAAAATGAAAATTTTTTCTACAAATTTGACCTAAGACTCTCTTTGATTTTATTTCGAAAATAACAAAAAGTTTTATAACTTCAATATTCTTCCACCTATTGACACGAAATTGAGGAGGGATATAGGGCCTTATAAACTACATGATATGACATAAATTGTGCCTTCCTAAGTAATTTAGAACTCAAGTTATGAAATAAAAATCTGTTAGGAGTTTTTATTTATTTACTCTCTATAGACATGTTAAATCAAAAAGTTATTTATTATTATTGTATAGGACAATATTACAATATTATAGGACATTTATTAACAAAGATACAGTCCATTAGTTTTGGTATTCTTAATGTCTTCCTGTTTAAAGATACTGCATTTAGGAGTAGAATAGTCTACTACAATTTTTTTTCTGGCTTTTATATTAACTTTATTATTTGTGAAACACATTTGGTTGTTTTTACATTTTATTTTTTTAAATAATTTAGAATATCCTATGATTGGAGCATTATATTGTCTTTATTGCTTTTATTATCTATCCAGTCAGCGTTTAAAAATAGGTCCTAGCAAAGCAATTTGTACATTATGTTTATTGGAATATTGTAATCGACCAAGGAAAAATATTAATTCCTTCCTTACATAATACCTAGGAATTACTTATTTCCATATTGTTTTGCTATTTCTTCACTAAACAAAATTTTCTGCGAATTTTTCGACAGGCCAACTAGTAATATTAATAATAGCACTTTGAATATTTTTTATTTCTAGACTTTTTAAGAGTAGATTCCAATTATTTTCTGTTTAAAATGCTGTAAATGAATAGAATAATGCATTTTTGAGCCTTAGTTTTAATTTAGCCTTGTTAAACGAATAAGAATGAATACAAATAAATGCTACTATTAGAATGATAAATACTACTATATCATCAATAATATTTCTTTATAATTTGCCTGCGAAAATAAACTGTGAATTGAAATGCTTTAAAAAAACTAACAAGTAATTTAGACGCTAAGATGATATTACCCAGCAATGAATAGTTTAAAAACAAACAAGCAACTATAAAAATTACCTGAGCTGGACTATCAGGAGGTGAAATTATTTCCTGTTGAGGTGAAGATTCTTCTTTAGGCACATTTGTAGAAGAAACTATAGGTCTGCATATATTCCTACAAAAAAACAAACCGATAAACTATGAATATCGTGTATTTTCTATGCAATAATCAAATCATTCAAGGCATAATATAAGATGACCTTGGATTAAAGTGGTTGTGACAGCTACTACTTAAAACAAAGCGTTCAATTGAGTATTCTGGCAGTGTAGTAATTTTCACCTGATTAAATTCTTTAAGGAATAATGGTAGACTGAAACTGCGCATAACATTGCCTTAATGCCAGAAAACTCAACATAAAACTTGAAATACATACTAACTCTTTAACTGAGTTTCTCGACAGCACTGATCGTCGATTGTCACTAGGAAGTTGCCTCAAATTAATAGCTCTAATCCTATGCTTTAAATGGGGTGAAAAATTAGCACAATAGTTAAACTGGTCTCTCATACACATATTCTTGTTAAGTCTCTTGACAGCAAACTGTTTTCCTAACAAACGCATTCGAAGGCGATTGTTAGAAGGTTGAATCAAACTATGATAAAAATCAGCACAAAGTTCTAAGTCACCAACAGTCATTGTAACAGTGTAAACAATCACATACATTTCTCCAAATATATGTATGATATATAACAACACATAGGGGACGAAAGATTCCTGATCTATGCACAGACACAAAATTCAGTCATTGACTAGTTCAAATCACTGTCAAATCAGATAACCACTATGATGGACCAGAAGCATATCTCCTTTTGGGCCAGATATAAACAACGGGGTCATAGTTACGTTTTGACAAACTAAGTCCACAGGGCCCACTTCTCTTTACGACCAAGGTGTTCAGCTGCAATAAAAACCTGTCGTCAGCTAATGTAGTTGTAGTGTGGAATTGTTTCGGTGCAGCTCGCAATGCAAACGGATTCCATTTTGTGTTTGTATTGTAGAAGCATTGCCTGGATGACGGTAATAACAGTTTAATAAGCGTTGGATGACGACGGATGAAAACACTCATTCGTTAATTCGACTAGGAAAGCTCAACTATTTAATATTAATTCTGTATCGGGAGGGGGAGAATGATACAGAAAGAACAGGGAAGAGGGCAGTATGAAGGCAGGGACTAGGACGGCAGTAAGCGACCAATACGTGAAATGAACTGGCCAAATCCAGTAGAGACTGGCTCTAAACTGGTAAAGCTATAGCGGCCATCTTGCTTCCCCCACTCCATCGTGCTTCAACTCAGCTTTATCTTTACTTTTTTAAAGTAAAGGTCCATTCTTTCACCAAAAAAATATATAACGAAATGTTTTTAAAAATGGTTTAGTTTATTCTTTGCAAAAGGAAAGACAAACATAGATTATGATAAGCTAGCGTGACTCATAATATTTTGTAAACTTCGTTGTTAACTACTACATTGTTTCTAAACATTGCCACTCAGTAAATATAGAACAGATATTCTTTGTTTTAAAGATTTTGCTGACTACTTTCATTTTGCTGATATATGTTACTATCTTTAAAGAAACAGCGTACGATACAAATATACAGTTTATTGAATTAGATAGACAATTTTTTAAGTATATAAATATGTATTCACATACACATAAATGTTTATATTTCTATTTCTCATCAAAAACCTGGGTCCAAAAAGCAATAGATTCTTCAATCAGAAGATACATCACTATTAATACATCAATTAAAACAAAATGAAAATTATAAATATAAATAAGTAGTTGATAGTTTAAAATACACTGGTGTTTTTAAATCTAATAAATCTATTTATTAGGTTCAATTTAGTAATTAAATTTGAAGTAACTTGTGTGTGTGTGCGTGAGAGTGTGAATAAATGATGTGCTTCAAGGCAATCAATTGTAAGAATAAACCGGATAACGTATCCGGTTTTGCTATGTTTAAATAATATGAGATGAAAAACAAAAAAACATTTTAGATTCTCTAGACAGATAAGCTCTTTTAATAAAATGTGTGTATTTTCTAAAAGACGACACAATTTTTATTTAACTTATCATATTTTATTTAGTTTTCCATTCCCTTTTTAGTAAGTATCTCTTACTAAAAAAAGACACTTAAGTAATATAATAAATATGTGTTGATAACAATTTTATATTCAAGGATTTTTCTCGTTTCATATCTTTATTCTTTTATTTTACAATAAAGTAAAAATCAGCTGAATAATAAAACCATATGGCATATTAATAACATTAGTGGTCCAAATAAATAAAATATGGAATAAGCATCCATATAAGATTACATGAGTCATAAATTCTCCTGATTGAATGCTGCCAAATAATGATGTATAAGCTGTTTAGCCTCACGTCATCTCTCCAAATTTCTATTAACAAGAGTTAGGTTGTAAATATGACTATTGAAATAAGAATCTCGTCTAGAATTTTAGGATTCAAGGTATCTTTTCACTATGAAATGATGTATAACGTCAATGTAAACGATGCGACGTATTAGGGTGTGGAATGCGAGATGTGCAATGCACCACCGGTCTGTAAGCAGATGAACCTGAACAAAAAATTATCTATCAAAAGAATTAATTATTAATTTATTGTGGCCATTATTGACTTATTTTCAAAATAAATTTTATCCAATCGTTATATTAAAAAATAATCGCAAATAATTTTGAGCAAATTCCATAACATGGCTTAAAATATGAAAGGTGAGTTTAAAAATTTCACAAACTATGGGGAAAATGAATCTTTACCTAAAAGGTTGTTTCCCTATGCTAGTGTTTTTGTTTATTGCCTTTGACGTTTTCCATCTGTTGCCGGTAACAAGAGAAATTTTAAAAAAGTTGGACTTATCGCTCATGTTATTATTAGTTAAGTTAAATAATTGTTTTTTGAAATGTCTAAACGCCCCTTTAAGAATGCATTGTGGTAACACTGTATTGCTAAACTTCAGTTCAATTCTCATATTTGAGGTGAATTTCTGTACTTTTTCAATACAGTTTTCAAATCTGTGTACAGAATTTTTTCATAAATGTAGCTTTGTTAAAACAAACTGAATATTTAAATTATTCCAGAGGGAGATATTTATTTAATTTTCGAGTGTTAATCTATGACGATATTCACTTCATTTTATATCTGATCGTAAATAAATTATGCTTTTTTAAAATTTTCTATTGTCTAGGTTTACTGCCAGTCATATTATGCAGGTCCGACCAGAAGGGGGTGCAGCCCTTGGGCCCTGCCTGGTCTACAAGTTTTATTTCTAATTTATAAATTTACATTAAAATACATTATAGATAACATTATATGTATTATATAATAATTAAGTAATATCATTACATAATAGTTCAGCGATGAATTTAATATTTTGCGGAAGCCTAGGAAAATTCTCCTGGATTTCTCTCCACGGCCTAAAACTTAGGCTGGGGGGATTGTCCATTTTAAAAAGTCTAACAATAAGGTTAGACATTAAGAGATTATGCTAATTGAGTGGTAATAAAATGCACTAGAAAACTAAATCTAACGAATGTTCAAAACATGACATTTCAATAAGTCATTAGGGCAAGACTCATGACAATGAATTGATATGAAATACTCAAAATAGTATGTTGGTTTTTAAAATTTCATTTCTCTTAAGTTAAACTTGGTCTTGAAAAAAGACATAAGCTGTAAACTGGAAGCAGAATGGCTGCTCTTCGTTAAGTTAACATTACATGAACTACCTTAAATCTACCTCAAACAACAGAGATGACTGAACTAATACGGCTGATGGACTTTCAGAACAATATTAAAACTTGATAAACTGACATTGTAAAATTAATTTTTATGTGATATTTTGAATTAATGGACTTCAGTACTTATCCTAATTACATATTATCATCAAATTAATCCTAAAGTAAACTTATATATTATAAAAAATAAAGATTTTACTAACTGGTAAGAGTAGGGGAAAAACGAGCCTTCAACAAAAATAATATACTATTTTAAGTTTAGCTTGAATATTAGAAATTTGCAATCTATTGCAAATTGTACGTTTTCTTTATCTGTAGGATTAAAAATATCGCCAAAGTAAAGTAGAAAAATGAAGAAAATATTGAAACGTCATGGATTGTAATATTGTTTACGATTTGAAAAAGAACTCATTATGATTTGTGTAATATGCTTAAAAGGGAGGAGGGTTTAAATAATGCCCAGAGGTAACAACAGATAGATGAAAGATACAGTAAAATTGGTTACTTTTTCTTAAAGAAGGAGAACGCAGAGAAAAAACGCTTACATTGTAAGGCAGTCAGGAGCGTACAAAGGGGGAGGGGAGGGAGGTAGCAAGGTAACGAATACCACGGACCTCGGATCAAAGCAGATGATTCAATTTGAGAGGGTAATTTCTTATAAGAAAATAAAATGAAAAAAATATTTTTTTGTGGGACTTATGCACATACGTCCAAGAAGAACAGCAACAAGGTACTTGTTAATTAACTGATAGTAGCAACTGTAATTACAGGGAAAAAATGTTACATAGTAGCGGTAGTTTGAATAACAAGCAGATAGCGGAGTAATATTGTTTTAAAGGAATTAATTGGCGAGGATTGACGTAGGGAGATAGACAATGAGTACAAAAAGAAGAAAACACGAATAACGAAAGACTTTCTGAAGGGAGTGGTTTATGGGAGAGAATTTATAGATCAAAAGATTGAGATATGGTATTTACAAAGTGAAAAGAAGAACGCACAATTAGGAGTTCTAGGATGTAGGGAAGTTTTTTGGTTCTGAGGATTTGGAAAAGGAGAACACTAGGGTGGAATTGGCGTCGGGAATGGCTCCTAGGAAATACGTTCCGCCTCGTGTCGCATATATAGGAAGTATATAGTATAGGAAGTATATAGCCCCGTATATAGGAAGAATGTATTGAAGAGTATGTATTGAGAAGACAGAATAGTCTTGAGATTCATGTGGGCGGGGTAGCCGAAAGGGCTAACGCGTGTGCACAGCACCGCCGTTGCCCGGCGACCTGATATATCAATCAAATGATATAAAATAGTCACGAGTTCGCGTCCCGGTGCCGAAGGAATCTTTTTTAAATCCCCGCCCACACTCTCTGGCCCGGGAAAACCCCGTATAGCCTTAACGGCAAGGAAGGGGAGGACAAAAAAAAAAAAAAAAATTACACCAAATAATAATATTCAGATGTTGCATGTTCACCAACCCATTTAATATGCTTAGGTAGATATACCTATGATACACTTCCTATCTGATGAATTAATCCCTAAGGTGGGTTGTTTTTCCTGTTTTTAATATGTCAACAACTATATCTGTCAACTCTTGATGAAACTAGCTTAGTACTGTGTTTGCTCTTTCACTGTGAATATGGAAGAAAATATTCATTATCGGCATACTTTGTTGTATTATTTAAGAAAAATAAGCGTGTTGCAGAAGTTCAAAGACAAATTTCCTGTGTTTAGGGGGATGATGCCTTAACCGAACGCAAAAAACTGTCAACTAAATTAAACCTAAAAAACTAAACCTTAACTGTCAAAATTAGTTTGCCAAATTTCATTCAGGAAATTTTTATATCAATGATGCTCAACGGTCTGGTCGCCCGCATGAAATTGAAACGGGCAATGTTAAGGCCATTGTTGATCA